TATGTTACATAAGTGTTAGTAATGTTGAAATGGAAATCATTTGTGTTTAGAGTTTCGTTAAACTCTTGTGAGATTTGATTGAAACGAGAAATGAGTGCCGAAGTGATCGCTGGACTGAAGCTGACTGCGGCTCAGCGCAAGAATGGTGCGAATGGGAGGAACCCGAAGTGCGCCCGATGTCGGAATCACGGCCAAGTCGTGCCTCTCAAAGGTATGTCGTATTGAATACCATATGATATATGCTTTGATTGTCTCATGAATTGAATGATTGTGTGAATCAAAGGCCACAAAAGGAAGTGTAGGCATAAGCACTGCACGTGTGAAAAATGCATACTAATTGCCGAGAAACAGAAGATTATGTCCGCGCAGATTTCACTCAGAAGAGAACAACAACAACAGGAAGACGAGACTCACAATGAGTTAGAAGAGCTTCCCGAAGGAGGGGCCCCAGCAGCAGGTCCACGAGGTCTAGGAGGAGGCCCGGGAGGAGGGCCGTCAAATTCCTCGACCGACTCGAACCAAACCAATGCACAACCAAAGAGTGCCAAAAGTAGAGACAAAGCACAGGACGTCATAGACATAGACGTGGACTCCGACTTTGAAGATGACGATGACATGGATTCCAACTCCTTCTCGAATCCCAATTCTAACTCTTCTGACAGCGCCGGTATGTCTACTATTTGTTGGCCTACTGTTATCAAAATATGAATTTAATGATTGAATATACAATATATGGAAATATTTGTCAGATTCTGGTTCAGACTCCGATGAAAGTAAGACCCAAAAAAAAGTGGGGAAACTGAAGAAACTTTTGGAGAAAAGGGGTTTAGTTCCCAATGACTGCGTCTATTACTTATTGTCTACTATTTTGTACGACAATAACAAGAATGTTAAGAAATCCGCTCAAAAGATATTCAAATGTAAGTCCATTTGTTTTTCATTGTCAGTTAACCACAAATATAAGTGAATTCTTGAGTTGCAATTTTATAAGTTATTTATAGCATAAGGTGTTCACAATTTAGTAATCAATAGACGACACAGTTTTCAAGTGATTTCCATAACTGAGGCTTCGATACCTTATTCTCTATAAACTCATTGATTGCCACTAAATCACTAAATTATATTATATTCTTAACAATCATTTTATCACAATTTATTCGCCATATAAAGCCATATCAGACTTGAGTCGAGAAGTCATGGAATCATACAA